AAAATAAATTTAAAAATAAAAGTCTCTTTTTTTATATAATTTAATGAGTAAAATCTAAATCTTTTTTGTATAAAAATGAAAGATTAAATTCTAGATTCATAATTAAAAATATAAATAATTTTATTAATTATCTAAATAATTCAGTAATCATCTTTTTTCGCTGAAAATAAAAAACCATGAGTTCAAATCGCATGATATATGAATATGATGAAATAAAAGATAAAAAAATAAGTATCTCTCATTGTGCAACCAAAATCAAAATATATACATAATTTTATTGCCAAATTATACTCTTAAAAATATTAATAAAATAAAAACTATTAATTGAAATAACGAGACATTCACTCTATAATTAAGTTGTGTGGTCTGAATTTTGGTAAAAGTAGAACCCCAAGAATCGAAAAATGCAAAACAATTACCTAAATTGTAAGAGCAGGAAAAACGGTAGTCTGACGATTTTTACTGCTTGTAGAAAATTTAACAAATTGTCATCCTGTGGTTTTTCTCTCTCTTCAACCCCCAATAAATACTGCCATAGTCTGCCTATTTTCTTGCCCCTCTCTCCAAACTCAGAATAAGAACAGGAAAGAGACTGAGATCTTGACCCATTTCGATTCCCTTTGCCCAAACTCAATAGTTGGGGACCCTTTCTCTAAAGGGTCTTCTCTCAATCTCTCGCCTTCTTCGTCTTCCTTCCTATTCCTGGTAATCATCCGTTAATTTTTTATGCTTCTCTCCTTTTCTTTTCCCATGTTTTCTGTTAACAATTTTCAATACCGAATTTCTGTTGTTTTCTTTTTTGTTTCTGGGTTGATCTTGATAGTTGGCGTTAGTGGAAGAACGATTGGTTTTGAATCAGATTCATGTTCACCATATATATATGTATGTTTGACTTTTTCTTAGTTTTTTGATTTTGGGGTTCTTGAGATTGGTTTTTGCTCGATTTGTATTGGCATGCTGGATTTGCTTATTTGTAAAGGCTTGATCTCGTATTACCCACCAAAGAAAAAGGCTCGATCTTTTTCAAGACTCTGGTTTTATGATTTGATGTGTAGTTTTGATTATAGTTTTGGCACTGGTTTTCTTCTGCCCCTTTGGTGGATAACAATTTTGAATGCATTCTTACACCGTTGCTCCTTTCTTTGATATGGGCTTCATCTTGTTTAGTTGTTTGGATAGGCTGTGAATGTTATTAGATTATATGTTTGGCGATGTTAAGGTTGAAAAAAATTGGATCTTTTATTTTACCCGGTTGGAAATTCTGGTGGTTGTTAACTTTTGGAATGAAATCGATAGAAAATTAACGAAATCAATTGCTTTGATATTGTCCTTCTTTGTAGTTTTAATCTTGATTTATGTGATATGTTAATCTTTATTCATGTAAGTGAGTATTCTGATTTTTGAGATGCAGTTCACTGTCTTGATCAATGGGTGTTGAGGTTGTGAGCTCTGAGATGGCACATGAGACCGTAACTGAAGTGGAGAAATCCTCTCCGCATGAGAAGGAGAATGGGAAACTGGATCAGAATGGCGGCCATAATGAGGTCATTAAATTTGGTTCTCAAGGTGAGGAGCCAGTTCAGGGAAAAGAGAATAATGCATCTGATGCTAGCTTCCCTAAGCCAAAGGATGCAGTTGATGACTGGACTGTGCCTAAGCAAATCCACTCCTTTTATTTTGTCAAGTACCGGCCTCATGATGATCCAAAGATAAAAGCCAAACGTGATCAGCAAAATAATGTGATTGACAAGTTGAATGAAGCCAGGTCTAAGCTTATAGATGACATAAAAGCCCAGAAGGTGCGTTATAGTTTACACTAGGTATATAAAGATGTCATATCCTCTTTTTGCTTGTAAAATACAGTAATTTATTATGCTAGCCTAGAAGTATTAAACCTTTGTTGTTGTTGTCAAATACATGATACTCCTCGTGTCCAATTATGTCACTATAACTAACTTGCAGCTAACTTTAGTAGTGCTTTTATATAGCACATAAATGACAATTGAATATTTTTTTTTTTTTTTTAAGGTTTCAATACGTAGTTCTTTTCTAGTAGTTTCATGTGATTGAAAAATATTTTCAATTACCATTCATATGCTATATAGAAGTATTACCTAAAATTATATGCAAGTTAGTTTTAGTTATAGATGATTTGAGACAAAGGGAGTATCTCTAGTTGCCCTGTGCCTCCTCCTTTAGGGCCTACTCTGAAGGATGGAGCTTTACTTGTTAGTACATTATGTTTTGTCAAGTAATTCATGGAAAAATGGTAGAGGATAAAGTAGTGAATTTATATTTGTATAGCTATGGAAGCCCAAATGTCAAAGCTTTCTTGTCTAAGTCCAATGAAAGTGCACTTGTAGTTAAAAGGTGTTGTGTAATAAGAGACCAAAGGTACAGGGGACTTTAAGATATCATGCAGTTGGTACTAATTGACATAAAGAAAAAAAAGAAAGAAATTTTGATTGTTTTAAGATTTTTACATTGTGAAAGATACTGGAACATTCTAATAATAAGTGGATAGAGTCTACTTTACTAAGGTTATTTATCTTGTATTAGCTATTACATATATCAATGCATGCAAATGACTCATGTTGCTTTGGATATCTTCATGTGCTTTTGATATGGTGTTTAATATATATTATATGAGTAGGGATCCACTTACAAGTCTTACACACTACACTTATGAAAAATCTCAACCATAAATCTCCGCACTTTCAATGGTTAAGATTTATTCACTTTTTATCATATTTATTAAAGATAATTATCTTTTTCATCTAAAAAGTCGTAATAAATCTCAACCATTGAAAGTGTGGAGATGAATGGTCAAAATTTCGTATAAGTGTGGTGTGTAAGATTTATGTGTAAGTGGACTCATGTTATAACATTCCTACTCATGTTATATATATTATATTCTGAGTAGGGATCCAGCTACTCATAAATCTTACTTAAAACTATTTTATAAGAAGTTGTGAAAGAAGATTGAATCAATACTAATTTCAGTCTATTGCTTAACTTAAAACCATAATTTTAATGTCCCATTTTCTTATGTTCTCTGCAGAATGAGAAAGCAGAGGTGCTCTCTCAGTTGAAGTCTCTGCGAGCTGATTTTGATCAATACCAGAGTGTTCTGGAAGAGAAAAGGAAGGAAATGCAACCACTGCAGCAGGCCCTGGGCAAGTTGCGTACAAATAATGCCGGTGGACGTGCTGGTTTATGTTCATCTGAGGAAGAGCTCAATGATCTTGTATGACTCAATCCCAGCTTTTAGTAAATGCAACATTTGCCATATGTTTCCTGATTTAGTTATATTTCTTTTTATTTCTATTCATTGGGTGGGATTGGATGAATACAGATCTATAGTTTGAAGTATCGCATTCAGCATGAAAGCATCCCATTGTCTGAGGAAAAGCAAATTCTCAGAGAAATCAAACAGCTTGAGGGTACAAGGGAGAAAGTTATTGCCAATGTTGCAATGAGAGCTAAGATTCAGGATTCATTGGGTCAGAAAGAAGTCATTCAAGATCAAGTTAAGGTAAGACATATCATTTGTAAGCTCATATATTTTGGAGCTTGTGATTTCACTGCCCTATTGTTCTTGTTAATAACTATTGTATATTTTAAACAATCTTTCTGTATTTATTTCACTGTAGCTTATGGGTGCTGATTTGGATGGAATGAGAAAGGAGCAACAAGCACTTAAGGCTAAGAGAACTCAACTCAAGGATAAAGTTGAAGTGTATGAGAAGAATATTGTTGCTTTACAAGGTAAGCTAGACGATTTGACAGAGAAGAAGAACAAAGCATATGAAACCCTCCAGGATCTAAGGAAGCAACGTGATAAGGCGGTATGTATGATTTTTCTTTTTTCCTACATTAATTTCAAGAGTTTGACATTTTGGTACCAGCTATGCAATCTTTCCAAACTACCAAGGTAGCTTAGCTTTTAGTTTAGTTGATACTGTGGATTCTAGTACTAATCTTTACTTTAAGAGTCCATCTGTATTCCACATTTTTCATAGGATTATATCTTTGTAGATAACATGTCTTGGCATCATTACCAGACTAATAATTTCTATGGTTGCATCTTTTACTACACTTATGCCTAGACTTTGCCATGGAGATAACACTAAAATTAGTTTCATTTTTGTTAAATAGAAATAATTGTCTTATATATACACTACAATAGTCATGCTAGACATCTTTTAAAGAACAGGCCAATAACCTGTTTACAGTTTTTGAGTTTCCTTGAGTTGTCTAATAGTACTTCCATGTACTGTTTTCCAGAATAGCCATCTTTACGAGAACCGTTACCTCCTGAACAAAGCAAGAGAGATTGCTGCAAGTAAAGATTTAAGTGCACTTAAGGAGCTCTCTAATGCTGAGGTTCGTTTAGACTGGTTGCCCTTCATTCATCCCTATCTGTCTATTTAGCCTAAATTTTGCATTGCTTTATCTACTTGATCTTGTTGATCAGTTGGAGAAGTTTATGGCTCTGTGGAATGGTAGCAAGGCCTTTAGGGATGATTATGAGGAAAGAGTTCTGGAATCCTTGGACAGGCGACAATTGAGTAGAGATGGACGGATAAGGAATTCTGATGAGAAACCATTAGTTGAACCTGTGGTTCCATTGCCTGTTGAGGTGGAAACAGTGGCAAAACCTATTGTAAAGCAACCAAAGGAAGATAAGAAACCTTCTCAACAAGATGTAAAATCTGACCAGAAGGTGCAGAAAGATGCTGGTAAGAAAATCAAAGATTCAAAGTCCTCTGTAGAACATGCTGAGGTTGAAGACTCTGAGATTTCTGGCTTGGATAAATTGGAAAAGGAACCTTCCGTTAACAAGGTTGTAGATGAAGCAAAATTGAAGGAAACGAAGAGAGAAGAGGAAATAGCAAAAGCTAAGCAAGCCATGGAAAGGAAGAAGAAGTTGGCAGAGAAAGCTGCTGCAAAAGCAGCTGTTAGAGCTCAAAAAGAAGCTGAGAAGAAGCTCAAGGTGATTATCCACTTCCCATTGCTGGTTTTGTTATTTAGGCATAATTTCATATGTCATGACTGAGATAGTTTTAACCTCTTGATATTATCCCAGGAACGTGAAAAGAAAGCAAAGAAGAAGTCAGCATCTTCAGGACCTGCTGAAAATCCAGAGGAGGCATCTGAACCCGCAGCAGAGGCTTCAGAAGCTGAAAAGGTTGAAGAAAATACTGAGCCTCCAGTTTCTACTCCAGCCCTTGTGAAAGAAAAAATTCAAAAGGAGATTCCTTCTATTCGGCACAGGAGTCGAGCTAAAGGACCTGATGCTCTTCCTAGAGCCGTCCTGAAACGGAAGAAGGCTACCAACTACTGGATATGGGCTGCTGCTGCTGCTGCTGCTACATTGGTGGTTCTGTTGCTTCTAGCATTTGGATACAATTATCTTCTATGAAGAACTTGAAACTTGGAAGGATCACTAGTAGTTATGGGCAGTGTATTTGGGTTGATGACGCGGCATTTAGCTAGGTCCGTAGCAGCAAAATTCAGTAAATTTGTTCTTTGCATCCTATCAAAGGATGGACTTAAACCTCATAATGTTGTTGCTAGTTAAGTCGGATCTGAATATTTTCAGGGGCCTAAACTCTGTACTTTGGCTTTGTTTATTTTAAAAAATTTTGACTTATATCTAATTCCATAATGCCTTATATTTGTATAGCATTTGTGCATTGATCCTTACGTTGCTGTTCTGGATGGTTTTTATGAAGGATGCTGCATTACATACTGTTCACTGCTTATTATCAAAGTAGCTGATATTGGTAAGTTTTATTACATTTTCTAAAAGCTATCATCTTCTTCCTCAGAGAATAATGCGTGGATAAACCTAGGCACCTGAGGCATAGAAACTTCCTTCAGTCCTTCTAGGACCTGAACCACATGTCCCATGGATGGTCTGGTTTTCTCCTCAGCTTGAATGCACCAGCATGCAACTTTACCAACCTTAATTATTTCATCTGTGTCGGCATTTCCTTTCAATCTGTAGTCTAACAAGGTCATAACATCAACTCCATTGTTTATGATGTTTGCAGCACGAGCTGGGAAGTAATCATGTATTCCATCTTCCGTTGTATTCCAGTTTCTCCTTCCTGATATGAGCTCAAAAAGCAGCATTCCGTAACTAAAGACGTCAGCTTTTGTCGTGACAGGTACCCCGGCAATCCATTCAGGTGCAAGGTACCCTCTGGTTCCTTTTATTGTTGTCAAAACCCGGCTGAAATCTCTGCCCAAGAGCTTTGCTAGACCGAAATCTGAAATCGTAGGATTGCACCAGGCATCAAGAAGAATGTTCTCAGGCTTGATGTCGCAATGTATGATGCAATCTCTGCACTCTTCATGGAGATAGGCTAGTCCTCTTGCTATGCCAAGGGCAATGTTGTATCTAGCTTTCCAGCCTAGGACCTTTGAATCATTTCGGAACAGATGGCTGTCCAGAGAACCGTTTGGCATGTAATCGTAGACAAGAAACTTGTTCATGCCTTCTGCACAAAACCCGCGTAGGCGAATAAGATTTATATGATGGATTGTTCCAATGATGCTCACTTCTGCACGGAACTGCTTCTCTCCTTGCTCGCAACTTCTCAGCCTCTTTACGGCTACTGTAACTAAATTTGGCAGTGTTCCTTTGAAGACACAACCAAAGCCTCCTTCACCTAATTTTTCTGCAAAGTTCTTTGTTGCCCTCTTCAACTCGCAGTACTTGAAGGTAACTAATATATCCTCTGTTGGCTTAATAACACAAGAAAACTTTGCCCTCATTCTTCTCCAAACAATGAGTCCTGAGACGGAAATCAAGCTTAGAAGTCCTCCTGCTATTGCGCTGATGATGATCCAGCAAGTTCTTTCCTTTTTCTTCCCTCTCAAAGCTGCCAGTTCTGTCATTGCTAGCCGGAGTTGGAGATCTCTTCCGAGCTTATCCCCAAATGAGAGATACTGAATGTTCAATAAATCTTCTTTCCATATCAAACACTTACCATTGAAAGTGTATCCAGTGCAAGAACAATTTCTTAAGCAAGCTGCCTCACATTCTTTTGATGTCTTAACACTCAAACTCTTAGAATTTGCAGGCAATTGTATGTTTCGAATCAACAGGAATCCATCTTCCCCACCTTTGCTGCATTGCAGTCTGGATTTCCTCACACATCCTTGTGTATGATTCCCAGAATTCCATTGTCCCTGATTCCTTGGTTGGAATCCTCTCAAGCAGCTACAAGTAGGCAAACTATACTGATTGCAGCTTCCATACCCTCCACAAAATGCATAGATTTCACAACTCTGCTTTGGCCGTGACCAGATCAGCTGCCACTGCTGAGAATAATTATCCCACATGAGATGCTGGAGCTGTCCGAACGAGTCCAGAAGAAACCTTGCGACTACAAAAGAGTTTGTCACAGAATAAGTGAAGTAGATCTCTTCCTCATGTGACACATAGGTCATGTTCAAGTGGTTGATGGTTAGTGTATCGGAACCAAAGACAGAAATTCCAGGCCAAATCCCACAAGTCCAGTGCCGGTTCCCATTCTGCATTATGAAGTACTCCTTCGTCCCATTCGGGTCAAGCTCCAGTGAGAAAGACCCAGGTTTTGGATCATCTGAATTTCTCCATGAAAAGTAAACCTGCCCTTCTTTATTGACCTTGTTCAATCCAAGCTTGGCTCCAGGCAACCATGTATCAGTTGGATGATCAAAACTCTGCCATAAAATGACACAGGAATTTCTCCCATCCCTGATAACAAGATTTCCACTGTCTTCAAGAATTGCAACACTGGAGTTGACAGAGTTTGATGGTAACCTGGATGACCAAACCCGGGTTCCGGATTCATTGAAGAGGAGAAGGGCACCATTTTTTGAGAGCTGAAACTTTGAAGAGAAAGGATGGAGGAGGGGTTTATCTCTGTTTGCAACCCAAACTACAGTCTGAACTGGGATTTTCTTATACCAGATTCCTATATAATAGTTATTGGAATTTCCTGGTGTGAAGAAACCCAGTTCAAATCTTCCATTCTGTGAACTGATAGTTTTGTTTCCAGACAGAAATTGGCTTGGGACAATGACATTAGTTCCCATGGACAGATGGGGCTCAAAAGAAAGGACATGAAAAAGAAACAGAAGATGAAGCAGAAGTTGTAATGTGTTGCCCATCTGTGCTGAAGTTTGCCTCCGCAATGGGTGCAATATGGAGTCTCTAAATAGGAACAATGGGGTTCTGAGTTTTATAGAAGCAGGAAGTAGGGACAAAACTGTCACCAACCGCATGCCTGGAAGATCAGTGGATTTGTTCAAAGAATTCCGTAGCTATGGCGACTTTAGTCAAGTCAAGTCCATGGGGGTACAAGAGGATTCGGTAGCCATGAGTGAAGTATAGTTTATTAATTTCCTGAATTTTCATCAGGGTTCGAATTTGAAGACCCTTTCTTTAAAGTTTCATTGTACCCGCAGAACACTCCAATTACTCCTCCGCTGATTTTGGAAAACACAAGTCAATTGTTATCCCCGTGGTCCATGGAACAAGTCTACACCGTTTGCTTAGTATTTTATCATATAAAAAAAATGGATACTTGCAAGAGACGGACCATTTGATTTGGGTTAGATTGAGTCCATTCTCGGAGAAAATCAAAATGTGAAATGTGCATATAATGTTTGGTTTGAATTGTTTTGGAGAACCACTCTTGCGTGTTCAATTGAAAGAGGTTAAAAAGAAGGAAGAAGGCCCATTAAGATTTATTCATGTGGCTTGTAGAGAGTATAATTGCTTTCAGCTCTTGCACCTCCTTTTATAACATTTGGATTTCCTTCGTTCAATTTTTGCAATTCAATGTGCTTAATCTTAAGATTTTACGTAACATTATAATTATATTATTATTGAATCCATAAGTGACAGAGCTTGCAATAATGCAATCAACTATGGCAACTAAACTACAAAACAAGTTTAAGGACTGTTTTGGTATCATAAAAAGTTCATAGACCATTTTGTATATTTAAACAAAATTAAACTACCAAATTTTCTAAATTTTTTTCAGTTGACCTTTTTTGCGTCCCAAGTATTGTTTAGTTTGTTAAAACATTTATGAAAGTTTATAAAAAAAAAATATGAAAAATTATAGAGCAGTCCAAAATGTATCATGCATAAGATTAATCATTAGATAAGGTCGCATTCTCAATTAATATCAATGGATTCTATTACCATATATTAGCACGGTTTGTTTTTAATAGATCCTTTTTTTTAAATATTTAAATTTAATTATTTACTTTTAAAATTAAAAACATAATAATCAACCGAGCTAAATAACTCAATTATCATCTTTTTTTTTTTTTAAAAATAAGAAATCTTATGAGTTTGAATTGCATGATATATATATATATATATATGAGATTTTCATTTATTGTACAACTAAAATAAAATAAATAATAAACAAAAACATCATAATTATTATTATATAATTTAATACTATCTAAAACTATGTAAACCAATTTTCAGTCAGTATGACAAACAAAATTACTCGCGCAAATTAAACCCAAGCATTTTCTGCTCCACTACTGTCCTTTCTGCGCCGCGGCTATGGCTGCTGCTACTTTCTCTTCACCATGGCTTCTAAGAAGAGCACTTAAAGCTTTCTCTTTCTCACCTACACTTTGCGTCAGCAACAAGCTGTATTTCCACGGAGTTCTTCGCCCTTTTCCCGTCCATAATCCACTCAGACATTCTGGTATTTGAATTGCGCTGTGTCTCATTTTCAATGGTTTTTATGTTTGCTTTCCTTCATTAGCATTTTATTATGGTAGTCTTGCGTAATTAGAGATACCCACTAAGCTAAAATAGACAAATTTGTTGAAGACATAGCAAAAAGAACAAAGGAATAGGAGATAGAAATATTAATGTTGTCTGTTCCTACGAGCTTGGGATGCAATTATTCCAACTTTTCAGCAAAACAGTTTTTCGTTTCTTAAGATTTATTGGGTTAATACTGAAGATTGTGATGTTGGAGCTGAAGTGAGAAGTTCAATGGTGTTTGATAAAATGCCTCAGTTAAAAGAAAAACACCTTTTCATCTAACAAATAATGTGATATTCCTTATGTTTTGTTGCTATCAAATTTTGAATTTTTGAATTTTATTTATTTATTTTTATTTGTTACATCTGTTGACTTAATTTTTACTCTCTCTCTTTTTTTTTTCTTTTTTTAAAAAAAAAAATCAGCTGCAGGATTATGTTACTTGGCACAAGCTATAAAGGAGGATACTGATGTTCTACTTAAAGGAGTGGCTGATAAAAGCACGGTTGAAGAACTGAAAAATATTCTTCAAATGGTATTTTTGTTGCTCTTTGACAATTTTACGTCTTTTGTTCCTTATTGAGACAATAGGGTTCTTTTCAAATGATTCTTTGCTGTTTCAAGAGCAAGATGTTAAGAATTTTGGATCCATTGAAAGATAAGGCCTACTTTCCATTTGGTTATTAGAAATTGTCTAGTTTCTGTCTTCCGGTCCTCTCCATTAGTATTTCTCATTTTTCCTGCCTCTGGTAGGCTAGAAGGGCAGAGTCTAGAAGAGAGGTCCTCCATACAGATTTTCTCACCCCACCAGTATTGAAGGAGTCAATGCTGGTATTGGGAAAACTAGCTGACATAAAAGCAGTTGCTCAGGGAGGATACCCTCAGGTTAAGACTAAATGACATTTTGTTTATATCTTGTTATCATATAAACTCGTGTTTGACCGTATGATTTATCTTCCTGATATTTAGGCTGAGCGTTGTAGGATCTCTGTTGGACATTCAGAAGTATTAAGAAGTGATCCAGATATTATTACAGCATTGAGGTAATTCATATTTTTCCGCTTCTGTAACATTAGCAGAGTGCTTTACTTACATTGAAACCTTTAAATTGCATCTTTTAAATACTTACTTTTCTTTTCCAGTATCACAGGTAATTTTGGTTTTCAACCTTGTTCTCATGGTGATTTCCTTGGTGCAATTCTTGGAACAGGGATTGCTAGGGATAAGCTTGGGGATATTATCTTGCAGGTATCATCTAAACCTTCTCTTGGATGTGCTTTGTTAACTGATAATTTGAAATTTTATTTTACTGTGGAGAACAAGTTCTTTTAAGGATATTCCGGATAAACTGTTAAGCAGCATAAACTTCTTAATGCATTATCAGAAAAGTTTTTTATGTATTCACACGTATTGAAGACTGATATCTCAGTGTTTTTAAAAAGATTATGTATTTTAAATAAAAACCACAGCTAGCATTTCCATGTCCTTGGTTTATTATCACTTTTCTATAGTCTTTTGTTTGCATTTCCATGTTATGTTTATTTTCTTTTCTCTTTATGGAAATCAATGAATGAATAATTTTGGAGTTTGCACTGTAATTTCTACATATTCAACCTAGTTTATTGTGCAATTTTTACTGAGTATTATGTCCTATAATAGTTAAATAAACCATTTATTGAATCTATGGAATGAGGAAAAAAAAAAAAAGGGAGAAAAAGAGATGGTGAATAAACTCTGTTTTAGGTGGAATTGATATTTTTTGAATCTAACCAGTTAATTTGATGTTGTTTGGGAGATGGGTAAGAATTTGGATATTAGTTAATATTTGGTGAACTTTTCCCTTTCTGTTTTATTTCCTTGATTGTTGTTTAGATGGTTTTATTGCTCTTTGTTTTAAAACACAATATTTGGCCTTCCCTTGTGTCTTGAGCCACGGTTGATCTTGTTTCCTCTTCCCTTCTCTCTCTCTGTCTCTCTCTTCTTCTTCTCTTCTTCTTCTTCTTCTTTTTTTTTTTTTTTCTTCTCTTTATGTTAATTATTGTCTAGGGGGAGAAGGGAGCTCAGATCTTGATTATTCCAGAACTTGCTGACTTTATTATATCAACAATGGACAAGGTGATAATTCCTATTCCAATAACTTGCCTTTTTGCCTCAGTTGTGTTCAGATGCTCTCACTATCATGTTCCTTAACCCAGACCAGCTATATTTGTGATGCATATTTCTCTTGCAGGTTGGTAATGTTTCAGTCATCTGTTCAAAGATACCATTACTTGCTCTTGAGTATGAACCACCAAGGTTGGAACTAAAGTGGTTATTGGGTTTTGTCTCTTTCTTTTCATGGTGTGTTGGTACTTATCATTGTGTAAGATCAATGATTTAAGGTTGTCTTGCAGGACTAAGTCATTCAGAACGGTGGAAGCATCACTACGGGTTGATGCTCTAGCTAGTGCAGGATTCAAGATTTCAAGGTCAAAACTAGTTAATTTAATCAGGTAGACTTTGTGCTGCACAGTGGTAATCCATCTCTTCATTTAATTGTAGCTTCAACTTTTTCACATGAATCACCACTGCTTATTCCTTATAGCTCATTTTGCATTTCAATGTTTTGTAATTAATTATGCCTTGGTAACATTTGGATTGTGGAAAAGGCACAAAATGAACAAACAATGACTCAAGTTTTCTGTTTGTATAGCAATGGAGATGTGCGTGTTAATTGGACCACTGTTACAAAAAATGGGACTACACTAAAGTCTGGAGATGTTGTATCAGTAAGTGGACAAGGACGATTAAAGGTGAGTTATCAAATTCAATAAAAAATAGGAAATTGTGAGTCTGTGACTGGCCAACTAAAGTCCTCAACAGGCATTCTGATGTTTGGATTTTCTATTTTCCAGATAGGAGAAATAAACACTACAAGAAAAGGAAAATTTGCGGTTGAGCTAATTAGGTATCTTTAAGGTTTACATGCCGTGAGGAATTGCTATGAGATGAGTCGAGTTCAACCAGCTTCCAGCATTCACAGTGTACTTTTTTCTTCTAAACCATAGATTATCAAAATGATAGAAGCTCAGATAAAAAGATTGTGAGGTAAGATGTTTAGAAACCATTACTTACAATCTTAAATACATTCTTGGAGAAAATAATAAATGTGATGTGCATATAATATCTGTTTCGGATACATTTAGAGAACTACTTTTGCACGTTCATATTTCACTAGAGTATCTGATGACATTGTTAAATCCCCTGTAAAAATACTTCCACAAGAAGGAGAAAATATCATGGTCACATCTAAATTTTCCTGTACTGTTGGGAGAGTTTCAAAGCTTTCAGCTCTTGCACCTCCTTCTGCAACTTCTAGATCTCCTCCATCAGATTCTTGCAATCCACCTGCGTCTGACTTCTGCTCCAAGAGCTCTTTCTGACTTCTGCTCTTTACCGAGGCACAGACAATGGGAGACAGCTGAATACATTGAAGGCCTCCACATCAACCTTCTTTACTGGTTGAGTAGTAACTGCATTTTCATCAATGAAAAACCCTACCTTGACCAGGTAAGTGGCCATTCTGTTCCTGCTGCTTTTTCATTTATAAACCACAGATAGCAGAGCTTATAATCAGCTATGTCAACTAGAAACAATGGCGGTTATCCCACTGGCAATCAAACTTGCCTAGTTGAATATCATGAAGGCTTACAGGTTTTCATATGGAAGTCGTGAAAATTAAAATATAAAATAAAATTAGTGTTTCAGTCCGAACTCCAAAATACCGACTACGACCTTGATTGTAAGGATTAAGATGTATCCTTACATCTTATGGTCAGTATTTCATAGTTTAATACAATTAAAATTATAAATTATTTAAAAATAAATTAAGGTTTTATTTAATATAGTTGTAATTTTGAAATTTTAGTTTTAGTTTGGTTAAATCCCTAATTTAGTTTTTAAATTATTGTACAAACCTTCAATTTGGTTCTTGAACTAAAAAAATCTCTAATTTGGTTTTTAAACTATTTATACGAACCCTCGATTTGGTTTTTACTGTTTACTGATTTAGTTTCAAGTTGATTTTTTCGTACAAAAAATAATTGATGTATCCGTTACTTAATAGTAAAAAACAGTTACTTAATGGTCACGCATCATGTTTATAACGTGACACGTCAGTTATTTTTTGTATGAAAAGACTAATTTGGGGCAAATTGATAAATAATAGGGACCAAATCAAGGATTTATATAATAGTTCAGGGACCAAATTGAGGATTCGTATAATAATTCAAAAACTAAATTGGGGATTCAACCTTTTAGTCTTTAAAGATTTAAAAACCCTAGTATAAAATTAAGAAGATTTATAAATTAATTAATTTTGAATTTTC